CACCATTGATGAATCAATATTCCTATTTTAATTTAGCAATCTCTCTCGAGCAATGCCAAACCTACCCTAATATATCCCTATGACAAATACTAACATACAGGAACACATGTAATTTCATGAATATTCAACAATCCACACGAGGCATAGAGGTATATTTATATCCCCTATCGGACCCTATGATAATTTATACCATGTCGAGCCTATTCTCCTTCTCTCAAATGCATAAAACAGGCCACCAAAATCATATAATTACCATGTCCCAAGTTTGATTGCTTCGACACTCAAGTTTAAAATAGGTTACTTGCCTCGCCTCAAAGGTATAGTTTCCTCAACCAAATGTCTAAGGGTTTTTTTTCATGTTTTTGTCTTCTTTTTTTTTCTCACTTCCAATTTTTTTTATTTTTTATATATCATATTCTCATTTGCTTTTTGTATAACCTACGTAACGAGTTTTAGGACGGTGACTTCCAAACCAATTGGCTTTAGGGCATCAGGTTTTTAGACCCTTGCAAGCTTATTCACTCGAGTTATAAAGGCTCGATCAGATGACTTTTTTATTAACCCCTTTCCCTCTTGCTTCCTTAGGGCACCAGATTTTAAAATATCCTTACTAGCTTACTTGCTCGAGTCATAAAGGTATGAAAAGAAGTGTCTTATTCTCACAATTTAATTTTATGCTCTTATTGTTCTAAACATTTAGTTTTCAAAACCATCCTTCAATTTAAGATTTTCACCTAATTTTTGCCTCACTGGTCTAGGCAGTCCACACAATAAAATTTCATGTACGGAGCCCCCGCTTATCTCAGTGCTCCCTATAATAGCTCAATCAATTCCAAACTGTCTTAAGGAGATTTACGTGTTAATTCAAAAAAGGGTTATCATTCAATTCCTACTTTATGCTCAAAATCCAATCATTCACCTAACATGTCAAGAATGAACGGCGTGCATAGATAATGTCAAGTATTGCATCACAAGTATTGGTTAATCTATTCAGCACTATATTCAAAGTTTATGAATTATACCAATCCAATAATCACATCATAGTCAACAAGGCTATCAAGCCCACACAGGCATGCAAAAGTATAATCAACACTCACTCATCAAGCATGCATCATGCAACAATTAGTCAATAATAATGATGGACTGTGAAAATGTAAAATAATTACATGCCGACTATTTGTTTTAAATTATGCCACCATCCCCTAAACTTATACAGTACATTGTCCTCAATATAAGAATTAAAGTTGAAATGGCATAATTTAAAAAGAAAAACAAGAATACAAAATAGCAAAATGAGGTAAACAAGACTCTCCTGATCAATACGGTGGTTGTGATGGAAGGTTGGGTCCTGCAGCATCATCTCCAGGAGGGGGAGGAAGGCGGGATAAAATCTCTCTCAATATGTCAGACTGCTGGGTCTGCTCCACCTGCATGGCCTAAACCCTGGTCTCCAAACTCCCTAAACAGTCCCATGTCTCATTCACTCACCACTGTATACTATCCATCCTACTTACGTACATTCCCAATCGTCCTCAAAGGTACTCATCTCTCTTTTCGCTACAAAGGACTCACTACTAGCATTGGATGCGAAGTTTCTTGTGATTGCCATATCATTCTGCACCTGCTGAATGGTGGTACTCATTGCTCCAAATGATTGCTGAAGACTCTGCATGTCTCGACTGTGTCCTATCATAGTAGCAAACATCTGCCTCAATAACTAGGTATCAATGTCAACCGGTGGTAGAGGAACTTGTGGCATCTCGAAGTTCTCAGCTGCTTGTTCTTCCTCAGCCTGTTGCTATCGGCGTCGCTCGTTTTCTAACTTCTATTGATGTTTAACCCTGGCTCGGTTCTGGGCCTCTAGTGTGAGGCGCTTGATATAGGGACTTAGCTTTTTTGTGCTTCCCCAGGCTGGACTTCTATACCTGTAGCTTTACATATCCCACTTATCAAACTTGGGAAATCAGCGAGGTGTGTCTGTCTCCCCATGTACCTATAATCTGTATCTGGTTGTAGATGTATGTGGCCAAGTCAATCTTGTTTCCCTGAACCAAATGATAGATAAACCTTACCTTTTGATTTGTGAATGTTGTCCTGTGGGATATGGGCTCGATGTTGTGGCATATGAATAACCATAGGATAGCTATAGATGGAGTGAGATCAATTTGATACCAATCTGCAGTCGGTAGAGGCCAAGCATTCTCACATCCCAATAATACTTCTGCAACCTCAATCCAATTGAAATTATGTGGGATCGGAACCACATTATTCCAGGTTAGCTGATAATAGTCATGAATCACTTTTGGTGAGAACATAATCCGTTTACCCCAAATCCATGTTTGATGTAGATGATCTGACCCAGGAGTGTCGATTTCTATATTGAAGTTGGCTTAGAACTCCTTCACCAGATTTTCATACACTGGATGCGGTCTTTCAATTACTTTCTCCCAACCACAGTTGTGGATTAAATAAACTAATTCAAAATTGGGAAAATCTTCCAACTTAACTGGCCTTTTGGGGATGAGTGTCCACTCATGAACAACATTGGCGTAACAGGCTGCTGTGTCTGAGGATAGAAATCTCTCGACACCCCCTTCGGGCTCTCTAGTCCGGGCTGTGCCAGATGCGGAACCAACCTTCTCCTTTCCTTTTGATGTTCTCTTTGGCGACATTCTGTAAAGATGCACAAGATGCTCATGAGAACGAAGTAATGTAAACGGAATGCTAGAACGGCAAGAAAAGCAATTAGAAGTCACAAAACCACCCAAACTTGCTTCAATATGTGTGTGTTTGTGCATGTGGTATGCAAACTTCAAGAAAACATGCTCAAGAACGGATAAGGAATGCAAAATAACAACATACACACAAGCTTAGCTCAAAACATCCAAATTGTGTCAAGTGACCCATGATCAACCAAGCATTTTCACACCCGGACATCATCATGAAAAATCGAATTTTTCCCTAGAAACCTCTGGCCATATGAAAGTACGTAGTGTGGAGTGATACATATTCAAATTTCATGCCCATTGAATATCGTACGGGTACCTAACTTAAGGGAAGAAGTGGGTGCTGTAAAGTGACGTGAACCTAACATCGGTGCCTACAGGTGCGTGGTTGGTGAGTGAGTGCTTCCAGCTCAATTTCTATGGCATTCAATCACAATGTGTATGTTAATCTATATATTCAGATTGTCAAATGCAGGATTCCACATAATGCATAACAAACTTCACTTAAGCATTTTATCGAACATGTAACATGCATTCCTTGTAAACTCTACAAAATGCCAAAAATTTAATGTTCCACCAATTCATGACACAACCCAAGTTCAAAATACACAATCCATCGACAACCTATTGCCCATTTTCCACAATCATGCTCATAAAATTCTCGGTTCATCTCGAACCGAACTAAAGAAATCATAGAAGAAAAGGAATGAGAGAATGTACCTTGAATTTGCAATGAACGTGTAGAGAATTGACTTAGGGTGCCAATGGGATGAAGAATGCTGTGTGCAATACGAGTGTGAGTCGTGTGTGAGTGTGGTGTGTGAGAGTGCATTTTACCGTGTGTGTCGGTGTGAGGGTGCGTGTGTTTGTGCGTAGAGAGAGGGGGGAATGATTGAGAGTGACTCGGTCATGGCTTAAATCCATGACTGAGTCACTACTATGCGCTCGCATAGTTATATCCTATGCGGTAGCATAGTGATAAAATTGTCCCAATTTTTTTTCTTCGGTTGATGTCTATGCAACCGCATAGACATAATGTCTATGCGATCGCATTGACAATTTTTTTTTTCAAATCTAAATTATGAAACAAAAACAAACAAAATCAAAATTACAATAATAACCCCCAAAACACAACGTAAATAAAATATTTCCCCGAAGTTGGTTTTCAATTAAAAATTTGACTCGACTAATATCATTCCTGAAAAATTTAGAAACTTCCAATTCAATGGAATATGTGCTTGCCGAAGGACTTAGCACCAAAACCAATTTATGGAATAAACTTGAAACGCATTCCGAATTTTTTTTTGAAGAACGACTTTGTGCATCGACATGCGTGACTTCGCACTCAATCCCCCAAAACAACTTCAATGAACTTGACTCATGTCGCCTTATGTGTGTAATGCTTAGACTAGTATGAGTAAAAATCGATGTCCTAACAAAAAAATGCAAATGCGAAAATTAAAAAATTCCTAAAATAATGTGAAAAGTAAAATAAATCGAAGGATACAGTGGGTTGCCTTCCACCCAGCGCTAGGTTATAATCGATAGCTCGACTTTACCGTATTGTGTCATTCTGGTGGTCTAAGATAAATGGTAGACTTTTCCTTTGAGAAATTGCCATTCCAATAGTGCTTCAAACGTTGTCCATTGACCTTAAATGTCCCCTTACTGCCATAAGTGATCTCAACTGCCCCATGTGGAAATACCTGTGTCACAGTATAGGGACCAGACCATCTCGATAATAGCTTTCTTGGAAACAGCTTAAGCCTAGAGTTGTAGAGTAACACTTTTTGCCCCCTTTAAATTCACATCTCTAAATATGCACGTCATTCCACTTCTTGTTGCGTTCTTTGTAGAGTCTTGAATTTTCGTAGGCCTCCATTTCGAGCTCATCTAGCTCATTAAGTTGTAATAAACGTTTTTCACCCCTGGCCTTCAAGTCCAAATTCAATTTCTTTATTGTCCAATAAGCATGGTGTTCTATCTCAAGAGGTAAGTGGCATGCCTTCCTGAAAATCAGTCGATATGGTGACATCCCTATAGGAGTCTTGAATGCAGTCATATAGGCCCGCAAGGCGTCGTTCAGCTTCTTAGACCAATCTTTTCGTGAAGAGCTTATTATGACTTCAAGTATTCGCTTTAATTACTTATTGGACACTTCAGCCTATCCGCTGGTTTGAGGATGATATGCAGTGGCTACACAATGTTTAACGCCATATTTAGTCAACAACTGTTCAAATTGGCGATTGCAGAAATGTTTGCCCCCGTCACTGATTATAGCTCTCGGTGTGCCAAAGGGGTGAAAATATTTTTCTTTAGAAAATCAATCACAACCTTCCCATCGTTGGTAGGCAATGCAATGACTTCCACCCACTTCGATACGTAATCCACAGCCACCAATATGTACTGATTAGAGAATGATGGGAGAAATGACCCCATGAAGTCGATCCCCCAAACTTCGAATAGTTCCACATCCAAAATACTATTTAGAGGCATTTCATTTCTCCTAGATATATTCCCGATGCGTTGACATCGGTCACACATTTTCAATAATTCAAAGGCATCCCTAAACAACATAGGCCAGTAAAAACCTGACTGAAGGATCTTCGCCGCTATTTTTAAAGCACCAAAATGCCCTGCGTATATAGATGAATGACAATGTTCTAGTATTAAGGGCACTTCTTCCTCAGGTATGCAACGATGAACGATTTGATCAGTTCCTCGCCTGTATAGAATGGGATCCTCCCAGAAATAATACTTCAATTCAACGTAAAATTTCTTCTTCTGATGACTTGAGTAATCTAGCGAACGATAGACCTGGCTAAGTAGTTAACTATGTCAGTATACTAGGGTGCCTCTCCCACACCAAAAATTTGTTCATCTGGGAAGACATCATTGATTTCCACGGTTTCTATCTACTCTGTGGTCTCAAGTCGAGACAAGTGGTCTGCTACCAAGTTTTCACTGCCCTTCTTATCCCTGATTTTCAGATCAAACTCTTAAAGCAACAGTATCCAACGAATGAGATGTGGCTTGGCATCCTTCTTTTCCATTAAGTACTTGATGGCAGCGTGATCTGTGTAAACGATGACCTTTGACCCTACAAGATATAATCAAAATTTGTCAAAGGCGTAGACTACGGCAAGGAGCTCTTTCTTTGTAGTGGCATAATTTAATTGAGCGTCGTTCAAGGCCTTACTTGCATAGTAGATTACATGAAATATCTTATTTCTTCGTTGTCCCAATACGGCCCAAACAGCAAAATCACTGACGTCGCACATCAATTCAAATGGCAGGTTCCAATCCTATGTGATGATCACGGGTGCTGAAATCAACTTCTCTTTCAAGGTATTAAAAGCCATCAAACACTCATCTGTGAACTCAAATGTGGATTCCTTCATCAACAAATAGCACAGTGGTTTAGTAATTTTTGAAAAATCCTTTTTGAAGCTTCTGTAGAACTTGGCATGCCCAAGGAAGCTACGAACACCTTTCACTAATGTTGGTGGCGGTAATTTCTCGATCACCTGAATCTTTGCTCTGTCCACCTCAATATCCTTTGCTGATATTCTGTGTCCCGACACGATGCCCTCCTGTACCATAAAGTGACATTTCTCCCAATTCAATACCAAGTTGGTCTATGTACACCGTTGTAACACAAGACTCCGATGTTCCAAACACTCATCAAACAAAGACCCAAACACTGAGAAGTTGTCCATGAATACCTTGATGAATTTCTCAATCATATCAAAAAAGATAGCCATCATGTAGCGTTGAAAGGTGGCAGGGGCGTTGCACAAACCAAAAGGCATCCTACGGCATGCAAAGGTACCGTAGGGGCATGTGAAAGTTGTCTTCTCCTAGTCGTCAGGTGCTACTGGAATCTGATTATACCTGGAGTACACATCCAAAAAATAGTAATGTGAGTGCCCTACTAGTCTCTCCAACATTTGATCAATGAATGGTAGTGAAAAATGATCCTTTTGAGCAGTAGCGTTTAGTTTGTGGCAATTGATGCAAACTCTCCATCCAGTCACTGTTCTTGTAGGAATCAACTCATTTTTCTCGTTCTGCACTACTGTGACACCTCCCTTCTTTGGAACAACCTGCACTGGACTGATTCATGCACTATCTGATATTGGGTAGATGATACCTGCATCGAGCAACTTCAATACCTCAGCCCTAACTACTTCCTTCATGTTTGGATTCAATCTCTGCTAACCATCAATGCTTGGCTTGAAATTTTCCTCCATGGATATTTTGTGCATGCATGGCGACAGGCTGATCCCCTTGATATCTGCAATTGACCATCTAATGGTTGTTTTATTCTCCCTCAGCACCCGAAGTAGTCTCTTTTGCTCCACTTCACTGACAGTATTTGAAATAATAATCGAGAGTGTAGAAGACTCCCCTAAGTAAGCATATCGAAGGTGTGGTGGCAATTGTTTGAGTTCTAACTTGGGAGGTTGCTGAATAGATGGCACTGACTTTGTAGTCCCAGTTCTTCGAAGTGACGTTTGCGCATGTATGGTAGATTAGTTTCCAAAAACCATGCACATGTTTCGATCTCATTGGAATCAATGTGAGTGGATTGAAAATGTGCAATGCATGCCTCGTATGCATCAGAAAGATGATGTAGCCGAAATGCATCTTGAATTATTATATCAATTACCTCGATTTGGAAGCAGTTGTCTGACTCAGTGGGAAATCTCATTTCCTTGAACACGTTGAACGAGATATGTTCTTCTCCAAGCCTCAATATAAGTTATCCTTTCTAAACATCGACAATCGCTCTTCCAGTAGCTAAAAAAGGTCGCCCAATATGAGTCAAACATCTTTATCTTCCTCCATGTCTAAAATGAAAAAATCTACTGGAAGTATAAACTTTTCTACTTTTACCAACACGTCTTCAATGATCCCTCTTGGATGTGTAAGTGATCGATCTGCTAACTGTAAGGTCATTGTTGTAGCTTTAGGTTCTCCCAAGCCGAGTTTCTTGAAAATAGAGAGAGGCATCAAATTAATACTCATACCCAAATCACACAAAGCTTTATCAAAATGACAATTTTCAATAGTGCAAGGTACAGTAAAACTCCCTGGATCATTTAGTTTTGGAGGCAGCTTTTTCTGGATTCTGACAATGCATTCCTTAGTTAGCATCACTGTTTCATTTTCTTCTATCTTTCACTTATTAGAGAGGATATCCTTTAGGAATTTTGTATAACTCGACATCTGAACAAGTGCCTCAACAAATGGGATGTTGATGTGTAGTTTCTTGAAGGCTTCAAGAAATTTACTATATTGTTGATCCAATTTGTGCTTTTTTAACCTCTGCAGGAATGGAATAGGTGGCTCATGAGGGTTGATAGAATTGGTAGCTGTAACCCGTGATGTATTAGAACTCTTCTTGGCAACATCATCTGTTGTTTGTTCAGTCTGTTCCACACAATCTCGTCATCTGAGGTAAGCGCTGATTCCTTGCTAACTGCCGGTCTTTTTACGTGTATCTCCGGTAGTTGTACTCTACTTCTGGTTGTTATAGCTTTTGCGTGTTCCTTAGGATTGATTTTAGTGTTGTTGGGTAGGTTTCATGGTGGTCTACCTGTCATGGATGTTGCCATTTGTCCCATTTGCGTCTCCAAATTTTTTATTGTAGCACTTTGATCTTGGAGAGTTGCGTCTGTCTTTCGCATAAACTGGTTGTTGGCTCCATGTACTAATTAGTCGTTATCATGAACTTCTCAAACATATCTTCCAATAGTAGCTTTTTATCCTGCTACTGAAATTAACCTTGTGGTCTATTTTGATTTTGGTTACTCCACGAGAAGTTTGGGTATTTTCTCCAACCCTGATTGTAGGTTTTCGAATGTGGATTGTTCTGTTGACGTTGACCCCAGTGCACAAAATCTGCATATTCGATCCCCCGTGTGAGAATTGGACAGTTGACAGTATTGTGGTCTGCTCCACATTCTTCACAGCTTGGCTTCTTAACTTGTTTTGCATTAACGGTCTGTGAAAAGCTCTCAACCTTATGGAACAAGAGTCTATCTTTGCGGATAATGCTGAGTATGTATCTACTTCATAAACTCCTGACGTTCTCTTCTGAACCACTCGATCTGTAGACCACATGTCTAAAGTTGTAGCCATTCTCTCAAACAGTTCCCATGCTCCGTCAATTGTTCTCGTGGAGATTGACCCATCGGATGATGCACCATTCTCTTGAAGGATGAAAGTAATCCAGTGTAGAAAAATTGGATTTATGTCTTTTTATCAAAGCCATGCTAAGGACACTTCCTTAACATATTTTTGAAACGATTCCAGGCCTCTTCAAATGATTCAGACTCACCTTGGTTGAATATAAATATGTCATGCCGCATTTTGCTACCTTAGCTGGTGAGAAGAACTTGGTGCAGAATTTGTGGGCTAGCTCGTTCCAAGTGGTGATGCTTGCGACGCGAAGTGAATCCAGCCATTCAAGTGCTATATCCTGCAAAGTGTGGAAACAATCGCAGTCTTATAGCATCGTCTGAGATACCTTGGTACCTAAAGTGTTGGCACATGTCCAGAAATCGAGATTTGTGTGTATGTGGATTCTCGTTAGCCATCCCGTGGTATTGATACCCATTCTGAAATAGCTGAATTACATTTATTTTCAGCTGGAAGTTTGGTTGCCCAAATGGAGGATACATAATGTTAGATTGACTCTGGACCACCAATGGTGCCATGAAGTCCCCAAGTATCATATTCCCTTCATCTTCAACCCCCGCGCCTTCGTTGAGTTGAATCACCGGACGATTTTGCTCGTTAGCCATCGGTTGTTGCTATTTTTGGTCTTTTTGAATTTGTTGTGCTGCTCTTGCTTCTCTTTGTCTATGACGAAATGTGAGATCGATCTCTGGATCAATGAGAACCAAAGCTCGATCAGGTGCTCTTTGCATACAAGCCCTAAGATAGCAAAAATAGCACAAAATTAAATTAAAGTAAATAATAAACTAAGTCTAGTAAACTAACTACTACTAATCTAGGTAAGTTCGAATTAGTGTCACAATAGATAAAAATTAAACTAAATTTCAATCCCCGGCAACGGCGCCAAAAACTTGTTCACGAAATTATTTCTTTCGATTTAAAACCCACCGCAAGTGTACGGTTCGTTAACAAGTAGTATAATGGATTACGAGCCCAAGTTTCGATTCCACAAGAATTGAATTAGTTCAAATCAACATATTATGACCTTAATCAAAACACGAAAGTAAGATGTATATGTTGTGATTTAACTAAGGAAGATGTGAACTATGATGCATTTATGAGTGAGAAACTTATATTAAATACAAAATGAGCTGGATGCAATCTACAAGAATTTATGGAATTAGTGAATTACTAACGCACTAGGATCACGAATTCCCAAGCAACACCCGTTCAACTTTTAATTATGCAAATTTGACACACATTCCCACAATTGATGAATCAATATTCCTATTTTAATTTAGCAATCTCTCTCGAGCAATGCCAAACCTACCTCAATATGTGATTCGACTATATCTCAATGACGAATACTAACATACAGAAAGGCATGTAATTTCACGAATATTCAACAATTTACACGAGGCATAGAGGTATATTTCTATCCCCTATCGGACCCTATGATGGTTTATACCATGTGGAGACTATTTTCCTTCTCTCGAATGCATAAAATAGGCCACCAAAATCATATAATTATGTGCACAATAATAATATGGAAATAAAACGTATAAATCATTCAATTCCGGAACATGTTCTTAAATATGTCAAATCTCCAAATCAAAAATTGTATTGCAAGGTTCATCGATCTCCTAGTACATGAAAAATCTAGCCTACAATGCTGAAAAGAAGAAAATACAAAAATAGTTGAAGAAACGTCATCACCCGAATCAAGTTTCAATCAATTCTTCAATTGGCGCGATGTTTTCCTCTTCGTTTTCTCCTTCAAAATCTCTCTTTTTCTTCTAAAATCGCCGTTCCCATCGTTCCGGTCGAGTTTTCATTTATATAGGACCCAAAGATTTTGTTTCCATCAGAGTTTCAGCGAAATAAGGAAACTGCAGAATCGGCCCCGAACTGTTCTATGCGACCGCATAGTACATTTCTATGCGGTCGCATAGAGTGAAAAAATTTGATAAAATATTCTCGGCTGCCTCTATGCGACCGCATATAGGGTACCAACTATGCCAAATTTCTATTTTGGTCCTTGAACTTTCATTCTTCTTCATTTTAGTCCCTTTGCAATTCCTTCTTCTTCCAATCATCTTGTATCACTTTCGAGTTTATACTTAGCATATTTGCATTCCCGGATTGCCTTTTAGTTCAACTTTGAATATTTGCATCCTTAGTCCCTGAACTATCACTTTTCTTCATTTTAGTCCTTTTTTGGCTCTTTTCTCCTGAATTCCACTATTTTCATGGAAACACCTACATAGCATAAATTCAACGAGATTAAGTCACATTTAAATATTTTGCTCATAATTAAGTCATGTTTGAAATCTAAATAAGTGTGCAAAAACACACTTATCAGCAGCTATATAAACAATGCAAGAGGTTTTTGCTTAGGAATTACTTTAATCCTTAAGGTATTATCTGCAAACTAAAAATCTTGAAACCATTTTTGTAGCATTTAGAACTCAGATGGAAAAATGCATTTTCCATTTTTCCCGTAACCTCTAGTGTTTTAATTTGGTAATTGTGATAGAGTATATTGTGAGACTTTAAAAGATATTAACATGTTACAAATTTTTTTTTATATTATGCAGAAATTGATGTGAATGTGTTATCTTTTCTTTGTGCTTTTCTTTGTGTGTGTGTGTGGGGGGGTATATATATATATATATATATTTCAGCATTTCTTCTTCTCTTCAATCATTAATGTTTACATCTCCAATTTCTTCCCCAGAATTCAAAAAATCTACAATTTATACGCTAATAGAAACTGAATAAATACAAAACTCGTGTAACGCACGTGACGACGACTAGTTTTAACAATAATAAAGATCACTTCTTTTGCTCATTGTTGCATTTACGTCCTCAACTTTTTACGTTGTAATCTTATCATCAAACCCCCGTTAATCAACGCATATTGTCAATTTTCGTCTAAATATGTGTAAACAGCATAAAAAACTTCAGCGATTACCAAAGGCATTTGTCTATGCCATTCAAAGTTTGCATTCTTTTCTTCTTTCCCAGCATCAATTCCTTGTCCATTCAGTTCAATATAGATTCGAAACCTTGCCTTCCAATCTACTATCTGTCTACAATTCTTCGCTTGCTTCTTATAATTTGGATCGTGTCCTCTCTCTTTTTCACTCATTTATATAAGTCGACTTTCAAATAAGAGTAAAAACAATAAATGTATAAGCTCGACAAAATAAATTTTTTCATTTAAAACCATGCTAACAGAATCTTTAGATAGAAGCTGACATTAAAAATAAGATGTACTAATTAATTGAAAATAAGAATGCAATGAAAAAGGATCGGAACACAGGTGCGACAATTAAACTACTGATGCATCAGGGTTAGTATCCTAAAGTATAAATGCAAAGCAAGAAAAAGTTAGCCAAACAAAAGCAAAATTCATCATCATCTGCATTTGTTAGTCATGGATGGTCGGCGGTTAAGTTTACTTATAAACATGCTGGGGCCATAGGTGGATAGGTATTCTTTCATTTAAAACCATGCTAACAGAATATTTAGATAGAAGCTGGCATTAAAAATAAGATGTACTAATTAATTGAAAACAAGAAAGCAATGAAAAAGTTTCGGAACACAGGTACGACAATTAAACCACTGATAGTATCATTAAGTAGAAATGCAAAGCAATACAAAGGCATGGAAAAAGCTAACCAAACAAAAGCAAAATTCATCATCATCTGCATTTGTTAGTCATGGATGGTCGGCGGTTAAGTTTACTTATAAACATGCTGGGACCATAGGTGGATAGGTATATATTCCGAAACAAAGGAAGCTTCAATATTGTAAACAAGAAAACTGGAATGCAAGCTGATACCATCATTACGCCATTGTCAGTTGTGTTTCCTCCTGGTACGGTAAAAATTGCAGCAAACACAACTGTGGCTATGAGAGTAGATACAACCATGCATGAGTTTGATGTATCCTTCATCCATTGTTCGCTCTTTTCGCGCAAATCTTTGTGAGTTTCTGTGAACAATTCCCTTGGTGTTTTTCCTTGTGAGTTCATTTGCCACTTCCATTTATCGTTCACAATTTTTTCCACCTCCTGCATTGCATGAAATTTTGAGGATACTAAATTTACAAATGTCTATTAATTTGTAGAGGAAATTAATACCTGAAACCACTGTAATTCTCTCTGCATTTGAAAAGCAGGACCCGAAACGTTTCCTCCTGGTACGGTAAAAATTGCAGCAAACACAACTGTGGCTATGAGAGTAGATACAACCATGCATGAGTTTGATGTATCTTTCATCCATTGTTAGCTCTTTTCGCGCAAATCTTTGTGAGTTTCTGTGAACAATTCCCTTGGTGTTTTTCCTTGAGTTCATTTGCCACTTCCATTTATCGTTACACAATTTTTTCCACCTCCTGCAAGCTGTGAAGAAAAGCAATTTCACTCCAAGAGGCAAGAGCTGTATCCATTTGAAAAGGAAGTAAAATTGTTTTTCAGATAGTCAATCTGTTCTTCATCTTTGTAAAAATCATGTATATCGTGAGAGAACTAAGAATCATAGAGCTAAATTGAAATTAAGGCTGTTAACTTTTGTTTATCATAAGCCATGAAAAGAGAGCGGCAAGCACTTACGTGAATAAATGAATCTCTCCCAAAAGCCAAGTTTACTTCCACTTGGGAATGAATGAGGGTGCCCCGAAAGCACATGCAATATCGTTGTCTCTGTTTCATCTCTTGCAGTAGCCAAATGCGGATACCATCGAAGAAGATCCAATGTAATATCTGCAAAAAAAGAAAAATGATTGGAGAAGCTTGAGCACAATATATATACATAAAAATTCTAAAAAGATGTTATTCTTTTTTTTTCCTATCCAGTCCGGAATTAGTTTATCAGTACCCACCCACAGGTGTAATCTTGACACTGGAGGATATCATCATCTATTCAATGCTTGGAGGTTTGGAACATCAAGTTTTTGGATCAAAAAATTGAAAGTTTGTGATTTAGATCCAGATCAAGGATTAGTCGTTGAATTTGGGTAAAAATTCGAATAATTATTCTTAATATAACATACATGTAAAAATTAATATTCTTAACAATTGCTACTCCATTAAATTGTCCGATGCTGTGCAAATGATTACGATCAATATTTGTAACCTTTTCCAACTAATTAGTGTAAAGAGAACGAGAAGTAAAGCCTAGATCAAAGCTCAATACGTATTGAAGTGATCTGATTTTTCTGGGAATAGTTTCACAGACACTTACCGTAGAAACCTGCAGCTGCAATACCCAAAATTAGCGAACTTGAACAAGGACCAGTAAAGGCATAGCTCGGATGCTCATCCGTAGTCACCGTATAAAGGTACCGTAACATTCCTTACTCTTCGAAGGCGCGCCCCAGTTAGCAGCAAAGAAGAGCGGGGTCTTTCCTTCAATGTCTGTAGTTAGAGGCAGAGCGGGGTTTTTGTTTACCAATGCCTTAGCAGCATCTACATTTCCCCCTACAGCTACATTTAGATCCAGATCAAGGATTAGTCGTTGAATTTGGGTAAAAATTCGAATAATTATTCTTAATATAACATACATGTAAAAATTATTATTCTTAACAATTGCTACTCCATTAAATTGTCCGATGCTGTGCAAATGATTACGATCAATATTTGTAACCTTTTCCAACTAATTAGTGTAAAGAGAATGAGAAGTAAAGCGTAGATCAAAGCTCAATACGTATTGAAGTGATCTGATTTTTCTGGAAATAGTTTCACAGACACTTACCGTAGAAACCTGCAGCTGCAATACCCAAAATTAGCGAACTTGAACAAGGACCAGTAAAGGCATAGCTCGGATGCTCATCCGTAGTCACCGTATAAAGGTACCATAACATTTCCTTACTCTTGGAAGGCGCGCCCCAGTTAGCAGCAAAGAAGAGCGGGGTCTTTCCTTCAATGTCTGTAGTTAGAGGCAGAGCGGGGTTTTTGTTTACCAATGCCTTAGCAGCATCTACATTTCCCCCTACAGCTACCTAGTGAAGGGCGGTGCAACCCCTTTTGTCTCGTGCATTGATTGCAGCAGCCGGCATCAGGTCTGCCAGCTTCTCCACAAGTTCGGACTGGGAGCGGCTGGCCGCCAAATGAAGTGCTGTCATTCCTTGGAGCGAGATTACCTCTGTCAATGCAGCACCATCATTGTCGATGAATCTTTTAGCAGTAACCCAGTCGCCTTCTTTTGCCGCTTGAATCAAGGTTCGGTAGTAATTAAGATTCACTTCAGGACCTTTATTAGCACTTTGCGATTTTCGAAGTTAGTAAACTAAAGCAAGAGAATAGAAAACATCAAAGCAAAGCAAGTTTTATAATTCTTACCCGTGAAGAATGTTGCTGGTTGCTCTATTCCATCAATGTCTAACAAGGTAATAGTATCAAGTTTCTCAAGATTGCCCTCGTTTATTTGAATCCTCGAGGCACTTGCCATTTTCTGCCAAGAAATACGGAATTCTATCAGTGAGTAGTGTGTAAAGTATTGCTCATATATGACTATTAAATACATTATAAAATCTTATTACAGTGTAAAGTATTGTTCATCTAAGACTTAACTTCAAAGCTCGTTTTACTTCATTCACTTCAAATGAACATACTCTAGACTAATACACAACCAACAAACTTCGCCAATTTGTAACCTACAATAATGTATGATTTGAAACTAAATTTAAAATTGCGACCTATGTTTTATGTCTTTGTGACTGTGACTTACTGTGATTTTTAACTTGGAAGTAATTGTAACCTATAATCGTGTCATTGTGACTGTGACTTTGTGTGATTTGCAAGTGTCCTTGATCAGTTTTTTCTTAATTTTGTATGTATGTGACCAGGTATTTCTTAAATATAACTGTCTAGGACTGTGACTTTGTGTGATTTTTAACTCGCGCGTAATTGTAACCTATAATTGTGTCATTGTGACTATGACTTTGTGTGATTTGAAAGTGTCTTTGATCAGGTTTTTCTTAATTTTGATTGTATGTGACAAGGTATTTCTTTAATATAATTGTCTAGGACTTGATCTTTCTTAACTTTGACTATACGTGACTTGCGCCATCTTGACTATGGCTGTATGTGACTATGTCTTTGTTAATAGTATTTTGTGATTTATATGTGAACAATAAGTTTTGTGTGACCAATTTTTTGCTAAATGTGACTATTTGTGAGCTTTTATGTGTGAACTCTAACTCTCTGTGATAAAATTTATATTGTGACTTTTTGTGACCATATTTGTTTTCACTGTAAATGTTTGCGACTTGTAATGCGTCCATTGTGACCTATTGTTATTTGATTGCAACTTATATTGATCAAAAACTTAATTGATAGGTCACAATATATTTTTAGACCACAAATCACAAATTTTATATGTTATAAATTACTTCTCGAGCGCAAATTATCAAATTAATTGGTTATAAATTACTTCTCGAGCGCCAATTATCAAATTACTTGGTGACAACTCATTTTTCGTTCTCAAATCACAAATTTTATAGGTCAATTACCAAATTAATTGATTATAACTTATTTATCGATCACGTAAACACAAATTATAGATGACAATTATAAATTTAGTCACAAATCAAGTTACATTATTTATTAGTCAAGATTTATTCATTTTTTTTAGTCACAACTATTCAATAATTGACGTTCGCTAAGAAAGTGCCAACCATAAGTGCACAAGTCCGGTTCAAATAATAAGGTGAACTTTTTGAGTTCGAATTGTCGATCCCTAGAGAAATATTTACTTTCTATTACACAACTTTAATCAATCTAATTCTAGCAAAGAAAACAAACACACAGTAAAGATGTAAGTTTGGAAAATAAGGAAAATTAACTAAAAATCTACAAAATAGGAAAACATAAACACTTGGAAATTTTGGAGGACAAACATGGTTGAGATTTATGGTTTTGCTTAATTGTCGCCTAATTAGTTTTTTCACTAGTCAATTAACAAATTACTCATTTAAATCGATTTTTTTAGTTAATTACCTCTCTCGAGCGAAATTAATCCTAATTGATTGGATTAATCCACTATGTTTCTATGTTGATTAAAATCAAACAATCGTATTAAGTTTTTTGTGGAAATAACTTAATGGGCCTACCTAGTGTTAAAGATATATCTCTATCCGCTACACAAACCTAGAGTTTCTACTATTTGGCCAAAAATGCACAATCTTTTTCTTGAACGATGTACAAATCACTAAACATAATTATTCATTGACCATATAAATGAAAATGCGTGAAATACAATGGTAGATACACATGAAAATAAGCATTTAAACATTAAAAAGCGAATATTGAAATCAATCCAAGCTCAGTTAAGTTTCAACCATAAATTCCAATACAAATATTTAGCTCATGTTAAATAAATGATAATAATTATAACAATATATTACAAGTTTGGCAAAATAATGGATAAAATACAAGATTATAGATAAAACCCCTTTTTAGGTTGGATTCTTGGAGATGACAATGGCTTGCTCTTGATTTCTACAACTTTTCTAAATCCTTCGATGTATTCTCTTTTTTAACTCTTAGTTTTGCTCCAAAAATTACAAATAAATCAAAAGAAAAAGAAAAGAAAACGAAAGGGAAGGGAAGGAGAGAGAAAAAAGAAAAGAAAAGGGAGTGAAAAAGAAAGAATGAAGGCCTAGAAGCCTGTTGCAGGATTTAAATTCTGAAAAGTAAAAGAAATTGCGACACAAGTCCCTAGATTTTGTAAAATATTTAAAACGATCCCCATATTTTATTTTATTTTTGCGGGAAAATTGCAGCAGAAGCCCCAAACCTTTAAAACACTTGCAGACTTTCCCCAAACCTTTTATTTGTGGCAGCCGTCACCCCTAACCTTTATATTCGTTGCAGTGAAGGCCCTTTTGGACAAAAACAGTCCAAACGCTCGTAGTTGACTGCCCAAATAAAAAATTGACCACTTTTAACCAAAATAGAGGAGGGTAAAATCGTCCAAACACTAAAACACCTTTCATCTTCCTTTTTACTTAGTTTTCGAATTTCTGGCACACGACCAATGGGAAGAAGAGAAGAAAGATTTGCGACGAAAGGGACAATAAACTCGCCTGAAGTTGGAGAAGTCGACGACGGAGATATCGGATGTGTGTGCCATCTAAGGGGATCTCTACGGTAATCTGTATATGGTACGTTTTTGCAGGTGTCATCGTTGGCAGTTATAGAGAGTTTGAAAACGTAGTATTTTTGAGAAACCTATTTATCTGAATGTTGAGATTGTTACAAAGTAGTACTATAGCCCCTTGTCTGTAATCGATTTTATGTTTTCGTTGTTTGTGGTGAACGCAGTACGTAGGATTTTTTGAAAATTGCATGAAATGACTATACGGACAAAATGTTGTAATTAGTACGTTGGAACGTCTATTGTGATATCCATATTTGTTCTGATTAGCCTTGTGTAATGTTCCCCTTCTCAGGAGAGAACTCCGCCTATTTCACGGTTCGCCTGAACCATGGTGGGATGATTTTCAGTAAGATGCGGAATTACGTATATGAACATGGTAAGATCAGCTATCTTGACTACATGGATCCAGATTTATTCAACCGACTTCTGTTAGACAATGCAATGAAGATGTTGGGTTACAAAGAGTGTATGAGATACATCTATAGGCTTGAAAAGAAAAGATGGTCAAAGGGGTCATTTTGGTTAGTTACTAATGCAGACTTCATGAATGTTATAAAATGGGTTGGTCCTACAAGAGTTGTAGATATGTACTATTTGTCGATACAAACCGCAATGTTGGAATTACCGTGGGATGAGAATGTACCAACTGGATGTATAGTTACTGATATGGAAACTGGTGAGATTTTGGAAAGTGTGTGTGTCAACAATGAGGATACGGAGATTGGACAGAAACCTGCGTTTGCAGTTGAGGTTTTCGATGACACGGTAGAGGGTGATGATTGTTACGTAGTCGATGAATTTGAAGGGGATCAGTTGCGTGAGTCAAATGGTGTGGATAGCAGGGGAGACCGTATAGTGGACAATGTGGACGTAGTGCAGGCACAGGTAGGTGCAAATGATCAGCCGGTGGAGCAAATATGGGAGACATCAACCTCTGATATACCATGTTCAGTTGAAAATGAAGAAGGAGTAGAAGTTGCAAATGATCAACCAACTAGATTTGCTGAACCATCAACAATTGGAAGTGCAACCCTTGATCAATCATCCGCATTTGAGGGTGCATCAAGAGTGGATGATCATGGAAACATGCAGTTTGAGGGTGCAACAGGATTGGAATATCCTATTGACACACAGTTCGAGCAACCCACAATTGAGGGTGCAATGGGATTGGAAGATCCTGTTGACACACAATTCGAGCAGCCCACTTTTGAGGGTGCAATGGGATTGGAAGATCCTATAGACACAAAGTTTGAACAGCCCACGTCTGAGGGTGCAACGGGATTGCAAGATCTTGGAAATGCACTTGTTGAACCCTTTGTTGAAGAAGCCATTAATGCTCAGAATACTGGCACTAGGTCTTCTGATGATGAATCAGAGGTGGAAGAAGAGGATAATGATATTGGCCTAGAACATTTCTCCGATTCTGAATACAAACAGGAGGATGTGGAAGAGGATGACCAAGGTGTAGACACATTTTTCAGATTGAGTGAGGGAATAGACATCGAGCTGGAGAATGTAAGCAATGAGGGACCTAATAAGCAGAATGTAAACATAAATGCAGTAAATAGTGGTTCAGACTACAGGGACTCGGATGACCTGAGAAGTATGTCAAGTTGTGATGAATCGGGTGCCACAAGTAACAGTAGAAAGGAAGTTTGGTTTAACCCTTCAACTGACATGGAGGACCCTAAATTCCAGATTGGTTAGTGAACTGCAGACCTGTTTGGGGGCCTTAAACGTTTATGTCTAATGCTTATTTTTAAAACGTTTAGGGGCCCCAAAACTCTAAATTAACATATGTTTGGGCCCCAGATGCTTATTTTCCGAATGTTTGGGTCCTCGGATGCTCATATTTCAAAGGTTTGGGGTCCCAGATACTCATTTGTTGTATATTTGGGTTTCTGTTATTCACATATACTAACATGTTTAAAATATTCTACTACGCTATACAGGTATGAAGTTTGATAACACAAAAATTTTGAGAGCAGCTATTGTCCAATACTCTGTGAAGAATGTAAGAGAACTGCGATATGTGAAGACCGAATCACATAGGATAAGAGTAAGATGTCAAGAAAATTGTCCATGGTAATTGTATGCCTACAAACAGCAAGACTGCAGCTTAAGGATCAACACAATCCGAGACGAACATAGCTGCACGTTGGTCTGGCAAAACAGTAAGTTCCATGCGGGTTTTTTGGCCAAGAAATATCTATGTAAGTTCAGGTCGGAACCAAAGTTATCCATGAACAGTTTTATGGAAACAGTGAAGGAGGACTGTATGTATGAAA